TACAGCTGAATTTTTATGATTTACGATTTGAAGAATTATGTTCTCGAATTTAAAAATTTTAATTTTAAATTTTAAAAGTGCTTCAGTGCCAAATTGCAGTTATGCATCGTTCGGACAATTTGACAGTAATGTACAGGACAGCGATGAATATTCCTGAAAGTTTTGTAAAACAATGTTAGAAATAAAGTAAAACTTTGCTACCCATATCTGTGCAGCTTATCATCTCGGTCGTAAGAGTTATGTTTAAGAGCTTTCTAACGACCTCTCCGTCAGTTTTGCATTCTTTGGCTTTACAAAATCTGTCGTTTACGTTATAACGCTTTAGAAGTGTTCTCATGTGGTTCATTCGTTTTGTCTTCAATTGCGGGTTTCATTGACGAGGGTAATTAACTTTTTTGAAACTCTTATGTTCATCTTTCAGATTAATGCGAAGAAGTAGAACAAAGGATTACTCAGCCTTTGGCTGTATACAGTATTTAGGAACATGGCGAACTGATGCCAAAAGTTTTTACAATCCTGCTAAGTTCTAAGGCTTCCTGAGATACCCACGTACCGTTAATGCTCAGCGAAAATCCATCCATTGACCTGGTGATGAACCCTTTGGGAAGGCACTAAAATTAAGAATGAGATAGACATTGAGCTAACAACTAAAATATACTCACCTTGTCACGTTCAAGCAGAGTCAGCGACGCAGAGGGTAGTTGCTTTGCGTGGAATTTTAGTAGTAGTGCTACGGCTACTGGTGATCATAAATTTGTTTCACCTACCCTAGTTTATTTGACCATGATACTTACTTTACTGTGCTTTCGAAACCGAGAAACGAGTAGCAATTCGTGAATCTACGAAAACGATTTCGGCATTGTATTCTAGCTGGTAATACCAGAACTTGTAAGACCTATGCCCACGTAGTCCAATCCGTGCACTTAACGGTTACAGTTTGCCTGGTAGAACCCAATGGCTAACCCTTGACCGACCCTGTTAGCACCAATATGATTCACAAATATATTAAATATAATTTTTTTTGCAAGATCACGATTGAATGAACCCGGCTTCGTGACAGCCCTTCATGGATACTGTAGTGATCGGGAAGAACACACTGTTGTTTGTTTGTAGTATTCATCACCTTCATTTGACTGTTATAGAAGAACATCGCTTGTTTTGATATTCGCTGCATTCATTGTTTTTCAACACTTTCACTATTGTGCAACGGTTACACGGCCATAGAATCAACTCTCTAAATGCAAATCTTTCTCTACCTCACTGATTGCGGTTGCATGTTGGGCTCATGGTAGGCATGCATCGTATTTCGATCCAACAGGAAAAACTTATTCTCAGCCAATTTGTCACACGGTCAGTCTTTCTGCTAAATCTCTCATTGTACTAGAGATATGGTTGCCCATAAGAAAATTTGATTATTTTTATTTGATCTGACCAGTTACCCTCATCATGTGTCGAAGAGTGTGTTGATATATGCTTTTTTCTATAACCGTTGTCCTTCTGACTCTGTTAGAACAGCGTTCTCAATGCGTTATGAAAACTGAAGCAAGGTGCGTGCCCACTTATGCGGGAAATATTCACTTATCAGGTCATATATTTGACAGAAGATCGAATTATTGGAAGCAATAACTATTCTTCTAATTAAATGCATCTTCAATGTTATAATCGCTGGAGATGATGGATCTGAGATTCTTAAATTGGACATTTTTCTCAACCATATCAGTCAAATCTTTGTTGTGTTTGCGGTTTGCTTTCATCATGAGAGTTCTTCATAACTTCAGTTTCTGAAATTCAGGGAGAAGATTAACTTTAGCAAAAATACTGCACCTGCTGAAACTTCAAGTTTGTGAAGCTGGTTTTCGGTTTTGCTTATCAAGACAGCGTCATCTGCGTACTGCTGATTAACTAAAATCTGGTTGGATATTTGGATCTGCGACTGCTTTCCAAAATGTAGCGTTCGCCAAGTTCATAACAGCTCTGCTTAAGAGGAAGATAACGACAGTAGTATTGAATATGAAAATTGTACATCTCGCCCTAACAAGCTACAAGGCTAATCGATGGGCGCAAATAATCACATTGTTCGACTTTCGTGGCATACAGCAGACATGGTTCCTTCGCACATCTTTTCCAAAATGGAAATGGTGTGTTCTGACATCATGGAATCAGATAGAGCTTTGAAGTTTTCGGCACTGATACGTTAGGTTGAAATCATCAGCGTTGCTTACTAATTTTGTATAAAATTAAAACACAAGGTCACAACAAGACCACCCAATCCACAGGCTAAGTTTTATACAACTGACTCTTTCAACCTTTACAGTATGATTTAGGAAAACAGCTTCTCCAAAATTAGCATAGATTGAAGGTTCAGTAGCTGAAACAGTCGGTTGCACACCTCTTTCAAATTACGCAAAATGACAACACTGATGTTAAGCATTTTTTGAAGTCTATGTTTTCTATAAAGCACTGATTTTTCTACCAGTTTCGTTTTACCGTGTATAATTAGACTCGGGGAGAATTCTATCAATTTTATATGCCTTCTTTTATCTTAAGATTTAGATAAGCAAGTTCTAGATTTGATGTAGGCTTAAAATTTCTTTCTTATTCCTGGCTGGGTTTAGATTAAGATTAGATTAGATTCCTTTAGACATCTTTTCTTTCGATCATTCCATACCTCCCTCTTTAAGCTTGGAATTTCTTCCTTCGTGGTTAGAATTGCATTAACTTCATGTGTCGGCTAAATACTAAGAATTGGAAGGGAAAAATTTAGAGAACTTATTTTGGAGAGCTGCTGGAAATGTTCAGTAAGGTCACTATATTGTTCTTCCTGATTTCTCTTTTCAAAAATGTTTTGCTGTAATGCAGGTTCAATTAACGGCAAGATGAGAGTTCATGTGCTCCCTTAAACGTTGCGCTTAAGCTTCGTCAATACCTGTTCTTACTCTGATTCTTCTATATTCAGATGGTTAGAGTTGTTTGTAATCTAAGGCACTTCCTGAGCCAACCCGTCTTTGAAGAAATGTTCACGAAATATTTGTAGGCACATTAGGGTTGCCGTCTCGCACATGTCACTGTGGAAGACACTGAGACACAATCAACAATGAGGCACTGAACATTGAGCCCATCTCATTTTGGTAGACTGACATCACTTTTTCATATTTTCGTTTTCTCAAATCCATG